ACCTGTAATAAGGAAAAGTTGTTCAGAAGGTAAGGAGGACGTTATTTTTCAGTTTATTTGTGTACATACTATTGTGCACCGAGTTGCATTGAGTTCTTAGTGCAACTGTATGTAACTGCATTTACATAAAGTGAAACATTACGAATGCTCTTGTTTCTAGAATAAAAACATTATTATCATTAAGTTTAGTAATGAAGAATGGAATTTCTTTCACGTCAGTGTTGCTTAATTGAAGTTGTAATCTGTGTAGGCCCTTAAAGGAATTAATTCGGCATGGAGAACTCCTATGTAAACCGAAAGTGCTTTTAGTTTAGTAAATCTTACGGACTTCCTGTATAAATTTGATATTTTTCAAGTGTTTATTTCAAATCTGCTGGAGTATTCAGTAAAGTAAAAGTTGTAGTGCATAATTACAAGACTTGTTGTAGTCATTGGTATTGCCAGGATACCACTTACTCGTTTTATGCAACCGAAATATACAAATCTCGCTTTATTGAGGAAACACTATAATGCCTGCAAAAGTATTGCGTCAGTTAATGAGTTTCACAAATTCTACAGAATGTTTCCTATTCAGTGATTACTGTTTGCGAATTATCCGAGAAAACACATTTCCAATTGGGATGTAACACAAGGCTGAATTCTTAAAGTGTCATCCTTATATCATTTCAATCCAATCACACATATATCAGTAGGATAGTCTATAAATGACTTTACAGACTTATCATCATCAGCTTACAGTTTGCTGATGATACTGTACACCTAGACTATGAGAAGTAACCCCTGACACTGGAAAATATGAAAAGAATACCGGTGTTTGATTATAGGTGTCTGTGTTCGATCTCATGATTAAAGCAGTATAATATGGCGATTGCTCTTGAGGTTACGCATAAAGTGTTAGGTGAGGAGGGTAAGTTAGTCTTCAAGGTTGGGAAGCTGAATAGGTTGAGATGGCTATAACGCGTGATCGCATACCAAGCCATCGCCTTCCTCGAGGGATAATGTTAGCCAGCACATGTTAAGGTTCAAAATGTGTTTGGGTCGGTCGAATGAAAAACTGCTATTGGTTCATAAAATCGTTGACAGTCAGCTAGAAGAACTACTAGATATATGTCTGCAAGCCTTTGTTTATGGCACAGATGCATTCACTCTGTGTAATCTCACGTATCTATTCAACTCATGTCACTATTTATTTTCCCTTAAATTTTCGCTCGTTAAACTTCCATTTAGTTTTATGTCTATACCTTTGTGTGGTGCATGGAATGTGGCAAACTAAACAGTTGGACTTCTTTGCGAAGTCATACTGAAAGTCAGGCAGAATGACACAGGCTAGGCATAACTAAATGCGAAACACTGAATAATGGTCTCCAGAATGTCAACAAATGATAATTGCAGTTCTTAATCTTGTTCTTCGCTAAATGACAAATAAATACCTTTCAGTAACCTCCTCATCCACCCGGGATCCGTCTCCTACTTTGCAAGTGTTTTTTGTGCTTTATCACTTTTGTGCTAAGCTTTAAGTTATTCAGCATATGCCGTTATTGACTAAGGACCTAGATGATATTAGTTGAGTAAGGTTTCGGTCGTGCAAACACGAGTCCTGTGCAGGTGATTGGTTGCATTATCATTTCCCAAATGGTATACAGCATACTGTATATTAGGGTAAATCTTCCGCCTTGCTTGCTGAAGGTTGTGTTCCTCAGGGTACTGTTATCTCTCCTTTTCTTTTTTCTCTCTCTTGTCGTACATGACTTTTCTCTTTCTAATGAGAGCAACTTCGTCAAATACGTTGGTGATCTGACAGTCTCACCTCCTATCATGTCACAATGTGTCACCAGGAGGACTTTATTTTTGAGTTTATTCATATATATACTATTGCGCATCGAGTTGCACTGCGATTCCACATGTAGCGAAAGATTATGAATACCTTGCTCTTCTCTTCTGCATAAGAAAGTTACTTCACAAGAACCGCTATATTAAGCTCAGTAAGGACAAATATGAATTTCTCCACTTCAGTGTTGTGAGTTAATTTGTGAACTGTGTAGGCCCTTAAAGTAATGCATTTGGCATGCATGCTTCATGGTGTAATCAGGAGTGTGCATGTTGTACTAAATCTTCTGCGCTTTCTGTATGGATTCCACGTTCATGAATTGACCACTTAACAACTGCTGAGTGTTGCATGTGATCCAGCTGAAATTATAACTGATAATTCCAAGAATTTCTGTCGTTTTCATCGGCAGCGGTTCACATCCTATTAATTTTATACAAGTACAATACCCATTGCTCACTTTAATGAGGAGACATTAACTATGATTCCAGAAAAGTAGTACGTCAGCATGTGAATTTCATGAATCTGTAGATTGCATTCCATTCACTTAATATTGAAACTAAACTATGAGGGAATTGATATTTCCAAGAAGGATATAATGCAAGGCTCATTTCTACAACTGTCGTCCTTCTTTCAGTTCACTTTAATCATACATGTATTGATAGAATTGTCTGTCATTGACTTTAGGGACTTATAGTGGAACAGTCTCGTCAACTTAGTGTATCTGATGATATTGTCCACTTAGACTGTGAGGAGTGACCATTGAAACTGGAAGATATGAAAAGACTACTGGTTTTTGATCGTATTGTCTGTGCCCTCAGTCAGTCGGCTTTGTCACTGCAGCTGCCTAGTGTCACAACTCACTACAGTGTTAATTGGCACGAACAATTATGAATGCCGTTTCTTAAGTACTCAATGCATTTCCCAATTCCTTAAATTGTCCAGATAAAGTGCACTGAAGAAAACATAAACCAAAAGTCAGTAACACGGACATAAGAATTAGTGCTAATAGAAGTGAATTAGATGAGTGATTTTTTTAACCTTTAGTACGCATAACTGAAATACTCATGCATCATTCACAAGATGCTTGTATCACAGAGGGCACTGAAACATAAACTAAGTCTAACATGAAATACCTTGGAGATGTTATTACTTCATAAGATGAGATACAATAATGTACGAGATGCTGCGAATTCAACACTGAAACATTAATACTGTTTTCGAACAAAGCAAATTATTATTACTGTTGCACCTCGCTGCAGTGTTAATCTGCTTATACCCTTATTATTGCTGTATCCTAAGTATTGCACTCATTTTCTCATTTCCTTGCACTGTGTAAATAGGGTGCAATGAAGAAGTTACAGTGAACTATAAGTAAGTAACGCTGACGCGAGAAATGGTAGCAGTCGAAAGAAATGAAATGAGTTGAAGGCCTTGTAATAATACTAGTAATCTCCCTTATTCCAAAACAGTACTTGACTTATTTACCTATGCATTTTAACGTGTCTTCTAATTATCTTATTTCTGTCTTTGTAGACATTGCCTAAGGTGCCGCTGTACGGATCGTCTGGGAGCAGTCTTTAATTTCATCTACCTTCCGCGAAGTTTGACGTACGAAAAGTCGAAATTTTACTGACTGGAAAACGCTACAATTGGTGTTACTCATGCGGCGATACGCCAGACTAGACACGTTATAGCAATGTATGCCTGTAATAACATTACCTACATAGTAAATACAATGCCAGTTACAAAAACTCGTCATTATCTTTTCACTGCGTACTTACAAGAAAAAAACGTTCACCTTACTTCTCATACTAAGTACTGGGGATTCCGCCAAGTACTCACTTTTACTTGCTCTCTAGAAAATGCTTTCCACTATATTCGCAAATGACTATTAGACTTCTGTCACATGAAACGGTAAAACATAAGGCGTATGCAGTTTAGAAGTTAGGGTATATTTGCATTTATTGACACAAAATTTATGTACATCTTCCATTATTAGACAAGAAAATTCTCAAAGTAATTCACAGTTGCTCGCAGTGCACTAATAGTATATTCATTACTATAATTATCCTGCATAACTGCGAAGCTTCTGTTCAATTGCCTGCGAAGTTGCAGTATCTCCATGCAGGGTTTCTTCACTGAACCTTCACACAGCACACGACTTGGTAGCAACGGATCCTGCCAAAACCATCTGCGACACAGGCGAATTACTTTGTCAACTAAAAATATTAATTTAAATATTAGTAAGAGTTTGATTTACCTGTAAACTGAGGAATTTGAGTGTGACATAGCAGCATATGCCGGCAAGGTATTCTTTGTGCCCTAAATATTCTGCAGGTACAAGTAGAATTGGTATAATCCACTTGGTGCAGGTATATGCCGTCATTTATGATAGCCATATCATCAGTATACAACTCTATGTCCATCCGACGATTACGGCCATAGTCCTTGGCAATTAACTTAGTGGCATAAGGAGTGAAGTTTCCTAATATCGGCATAACTGGTTCCGATGCGTGGTACTTATGAATCCGACAACTTTCGACGATGACTTCAACACTACGACGCTTCTCTGTGCGTACACACCATTTATACGTCTTGTACATGTATACGTGTAGGGGATCTCTTCTGTGGAGATATCGTTTTAGGTGACTGTGAGAGCTTTCAACTCTATTGTTGGTACTATTAAACAGCAACAGAGTATTCGGCATATATGCCGCAGCCCACGTCTCCTTCTTAGGCACCCAGTAATGCCTGACATAATTCCACACCCTCCGATCAACCATCCTAATGACACTAAGGTAGTGATGAAATCTAAACGGTTAGAAATCAATGCATTTACCTTACAGGTGTCGTAGCTTTAACAAGACGATATAAAAACCTGCGTACAAAAGGATTTCGAGTCTAAATGCATCAAGTATTAATTACATTCACCTCACCTTCCTGCTAAAAGCCCGGCATACATGAAATGCACAGATGACGATTTTCGCCTGAATTTGACTATTACGCACGACGGATATCTCACAGTTGGCCGAATCCATTACGAAAGTTTCTGTGATAGACGTATCCTGCATTATTCTTTGGAATTGTTCCAATATCCGAGCTACATCACATGACCTCTCTCGTCTCATCCATGCCAAAAAGGAGGCCTGCCATGACCCATATTGTCTGTTACCACCAAATGAAACAGAGAATATCTGATTAAGATTTGTCAACCGTTTCATGTATAACCTACCCGTCCTTATTGGTATTGTATGTTGAGTCAATACACACCACCTCTCCATATTTCCGATATAACTGAACCTGTGATTCCAGGGCGAAGCAAATTCTGCTGGTTATCCCTGTATTCGAATCCACGTATTCAACCACCTGACCGCTTTGCCTTATTATACGCATAACATCTGATCTCAAAGGCATGGCTTCAAAGATAATTTAAACTACTTCAATTACCTGGTCTCATATCCTTACGTAAATTATACACATCTGTGCTCGTCAAAATTTTATTAAAATTCTCTTCAGCATATTCCAAAACATCAGCAACCTCAGATGTAGTCTTCACAACTGGTGCAATATTCTCCTTTTCATCCCCGGACAGGCGTCTAAAATATGGATCACCTATCATAAGACTTTTTTCACATTTGCGATTGTGAACTGTTTCCGCGGAAGAAATGATAAACTCGTCCTCCTTGTAGCGTATACGAAAGCCAGATTGGCAACCGGTGTATTTTGCACTGCAGAAATAAATAATAGAATTCTTACGGTTTGACGCGTAAACCTGAACCTCTAGTTTTTCGCTTCATGCCATATGTACAACGAAAGACTACTAATTTGTACTTCAACTCCTGAGATTCATGGTCCCGTATGCACTTTTTGATTACATAATGTGTATGAGTTGCCTAGGAATACTCTGTCATACATATATACATATATTACTGATTCCATCTGACTTAGAGCATCTTCTACTTGAACCCAACTGGTATACCGGTGACTAAACATAATTCCGTCAAAAAGTTTTTTGATATCCACTGATATAGGAAGGGCAGGTTGGTTGCCATTGTCTCCAAGTGCCAATGCGTCCATTCGGTACCACTGTAAATGAAAAAAGAAGCTTTTCAATAAAAAATTCACGAATAGCCAACAGAGTACAGTAAGCAACTTAAAAGAGACATTGATTTGGAAACTATAGCGGAAACAAATATAAATTCCTTACCACAGTTACCGTTTTGGAAAGTTCCTGATTATAGCCATAAACATTTACTGAACAACTCGTGAACGACAAATATGGACACAAGTGAAGAAACGAAGCTCTACAGAAATCATTGAGACGCCACAAACAGGAGGATTTTAGGTGCACCCTATAATTTTCACATGAAACACATTCTCAAGCATCCTCCTGCACCATAACTGCCTTCAGGCCTAGAGGCAGCTTTTGACGACTATTCTTAACAAAATCAATACAGTTCAAGCCAAACAGAAACCAGAATCATGTCAAATGCAGCTACCTAGATCAAACGAAACAAATCAGCCAAACTGAAATCAACTAGACCGCGCAAATGTCCTCAAGGTAAAGCTGGAGGCGCCACTTCAAACAGGGGATATGCCTTATCAACGCCCGGTTTCCTAAATAGAAGATCGTGCATTACTTGCCAATTAGATTATTTCGACCACATTACTGAGTGTGTAGACAAAGGTCGTTCAGCAGCAACATTATTTCTAGACGTTAGGAAAGCTTTTGACAAGGTCCCACATAAGAGACTCATATTGAAACTCCTATCTTATGGAATAAGTGGAAGGCTACATGAGTGGATAACTTCTTTTCTTACAGGAAGAGAACAGTTAGTTAAAGTCAACCATCACTTATCAACATCCAAACCGATAACCAGTGGCGTGATACAAGGTAGTGTTCTTGGCCCTACCCTATTCATTGTATTCATAAATGATATTGTTTCTATGATCAAGTATGGCAAGCCATACCTCTTTGCAGACGACCTCAAAGTTGTCTATGATTTCGACTATAATGATATGAATATTGTTAGTAAAATCCAAGAAGACCTAAATAGTCTATGTAATTGGAGTGAAAAGTGGCAGTTAATGTTGAATCCAGCTAAATCTGGGATAACATACTTCGGACGTTGGAAACCTAGCATGTGTCTATACATGTACGGTGACCTTGTCTCAAACACGAACATAGTCACAGATCTCGGGGTAACATACTCAGATCTTACCTTTACTGAACATGCAAATAAGGTGGTATCTGATTGTAAACGTCTAACCGGCTTTGTGCTACGCAACTTTTACACCCCAGAAGCCAGATTAGCCATATATAAGATATGCATTCGCCCCAAACTTGAATACTGTGCCCACTTATACAGTAGCTTTAAATCAGCAGACAGAAAAAAAGTTGAAAGTGTCCAAAGATTCCTCACGAAACGCATATTAGGTTATGATCAGCAAATAGAATACCTTGACAGATGTATTCGACTGGACTTAGAACCCTTATGGTTAAGGAGAGTGAAGTGCAATCTATTTCTCTTATTCAAAGTTATAAGAAAGCACTGTAACAGTAACTCGTCTATAACCTGGGCTAATCCTAAATCGTATGGACTACGCAACCATGACTACCTTCTCAAGGTTAACACCCACTTTTTCACCATTAAATATTGCAAACATTGGAACTAGCTACCCTCTGAGATTAGATCCTGTGAAAGGCCTGACAGTTTCAAAAGGAGCCTAGAAAAACATATTAACATGTCCACCCTAGCCCTTCTAAATGATCTCAACTGCTGGTAGAGTGGTGAAACCATGACATTTCAATATTTAACTACAGACAGTACACTAGTTCCTAGACTAACCTAATAATACTTAGTAACTATGCATATTCAATACTTGAAATTAGATTATCATTAAAATACTTAAAATGATTACTTACGCAGCAAATGTTCTCTTAGTTTATCACTCTTATTTCCCTTATAACATTCAGTTTTTGAGCCTAATGTATTCTTTGATAATACGAATTATAACACTGATTACACTCTTATTATACATAGATTGATTTACTTTACGGCTACCTGTAAGACTCACTAACTTTCTGTAGTATTGTTAACCAAATGCTGAAATTTTGTTGGTTCTGCTAATATCTTTTTATAATATATGTAGACAGGTTACTTTGCAATGTCAAATGTTTACTATATATAAAACTGTCATGATAATTTAGTACACTTGGTCCTGCCAACCGACCTTACCTTCAGTTCATACTACCTATATTGAACCCTAACTATATTGTTCTGCTGAATCTTGCTCCACTATTCACAAAACCTATTCTTGTTATTCTTCAAGGTTTTTGACTTCTTATAAAGTAATCTGTTCATTAGGACGCATGCATACATATATAATATGTTCATAAAGATGTACGCGGGGACCTATTGGAAGCACTCATTAAGAAAGCTAGGGAGATGGAATATGGGGTACGAACATGTCTGGTACCAAGCAATATATTTGCGGTAACCATAATAATCATAGTCTCAGAGCCTAACACCAAAAAAGGTGGGAGGGTGGAGTTAGCTAATCAGTAGATATGGTGGGGGTCACTAAGGTGAATCGCCCCATTCTGCAGGAACAGCATTAAAAAATTTTGAAGGCTCGAGATATTTCTGATTTTTATGAGGGCTTAAATCTTTATCTTGAAAAAGATAACAATGAACGCCTTGGCAGATCATGCTTCTACCTTTAAATATATACCATTCACCCAGCCTATTGTTGAGATGCGACCATGTGGGATCTGCTCAGATTGATGGGGCATCTTATAAATTAACTTGCTGTCTATCGTCAGATCTTTTCATACCACTCCACAATGTCTTATCTCATTTATTTTCTGACAACGTCTTTACTTGATCCTCATTTTACTCCATTAAACTTAACATCTTATAGCTCTTCATTACTTATTATACTCCTACTCTCTGAAGGGTACGGTTGTGCACTAAATGCACAAAAAGGTATAAAATAAAAACAACTGGCATGAGGATAATTGTATTAAAACCAAAAGTGGATATCATGATAGTTTGTGATATATCTGTAGCATTATACATTGCAAATGAATGTTGTTACCCTAGGGTGTTTCATTTATTAATGCATTTATTAATGATACTTGCACTTACCTATTTCATTACAATTTAATGATTCACCTCAGCACTTTAATTTTTCTAAAACAGATTCCAATCCCTTGTAAAAGGTGTACTTACCTCAATATTGGTTGGTTATCGTATGCCTACAACCACGGGATGAAAACGGAACGAAGTCGATTTTCCCGCTCAACCTGGAGGACAACTGTACAATTCAATAACTATACGGCCTAATTCAGAAAATGAGTGTATTATATGTATCGAATATTTAACAGTTGAAATACGTTTAACTTGTAGACAATCTACGACTTGATATTATATCATACTTGATCGTGCCTGTAAAAATGGCATGCATTTTATATGAAATACATTATTATTATTAATTGGAGTGGTAAACCTGGCCAAACACAAGGAAACGGCATTTTATCACTCAATAGAGAAGACATATTCTCGTCTCATCCTTCCGAGTACCTCAGTCATTTATAACATATTGCAGAAGTTCTACAGAAGTATTCACTTCCTTTGGTGACAAAATAACCTTCCACCGCTACCCAACAGTTCAGGGAGAAGGTAGTAATTTGAGGAGACTGCTCCACTCATGCCAACGAAACACTATCTGATTGAGTTTTTCTCCAAAACAGGCGTATACTGATCTTATTTATCCACACAATCATTTTTACTATCCTACTTTTGTCCCAGTCCATTGAAACACCTCCCCTCATACCACTACTTTTAAACATACTAATAATTTATTTGCTTTTATATATCTTCAATCCTCCGCACACGAGCGATATAACTAACTTATTGACGTTTTAATCTTCAAAATGTGAATTGTGTGTCAACCAAACGCCTGTTTCGCCTTTGACGAATAGTTCTGCCCTTTGACTGTTTTACTAGTTTTCTTCGTTATAGGTCATCCTTTCAATATATTTCAATATTTATCAAGACAACATAGGTGTACTGCATTTTGGTGACAATTCAATTCCAAGACAAGTGTTCATGTAACTGCAGAAGACAAGGGCCAGGCAACAGATCGTTTCTTGAGAAAATCAACAGATATTTATGTATTTTTATGTACATTCTTATTCGTTATTGTTAGCAGAGAGGTAAAGTCTTCTGATTGGTTGTTTTCTGCTTAAGGTTATTCTGTCATCTCTTTGTGGCCGTTTCTTAGGCAGTCCGTTGATATTTCTGCTAATCGTATCCTCCCACGCTGTCTGCTGTGATTGGTCCTTTAGTTAGTCTTTGTTCTTGTTTTTTCTGATGACCAAGATATGGGACGTAAACATTGATGTAAATTGCTGTCTACCAATCATGACTAGCAGACAGTTCTCACCACACTTCTTCCAAGTGCACTACTCAATATAGGAGATGACCATAATCTCATAAACAGTGCAGCTCACAACATTCGCAGAAGTTAATATTCACTGTCTAGAATATCCAAGCGAAGAATAAGAGATGAATTTATCAATATCTTAACATAAAATGCAAAATCGATGACACAGTAGAAATGACTTACATCAACAGCCACCGTGTGGTCCCTAAAATTGGCGATTAGCTAAAAGCTGAAGCAGGAGTTTAGAGTATGTAGATATAAGTGGAGTTCAAGCGCTAAAAATTACCACACATCTCTCGTCTCATGGTGGGATTATATGAGTCACTATTTTCGATACAGAAAAATTGAGTATAGCAACTGTTGCTAGAAATTACATCTACGACGGAAAATGAGATGGATATAGCATCCACATGATTCCGACATATTTCTGTATATCTTTATTGCATAAACACATAATGAAGCTTTACGGCAAAAGGAAACAGAGATAAAGTTATGAACCCCAAAACAATGA